GTCAGAATGCATGTTTTTTTCTCACTTGCGAATTTTCACTTTGTGCTTTCAATTGCTTTCATTAATGTATAGTTCCATCCTATGCCCATTTTTGTATATTCGAATGCGAAGAAAAATTAGTGTTTCTTCGAAGAAAGACTTCGTATCTTCTTTATTTCTAATTAAATCAAACATTTTAAACATATTTTTGGAAATGAAAACTACATTAACTTGTGGATACTTACAGCGCTCGTGACGAATATGTATCTATTTGTTGAAGTACCGCTGCGAATTCAAATATCGCTGCGGCTATTTAAAGCAATGCAATTTTAGTACATCGCGTAAAAAGTTCGTTAAGTAATTTTCCAGTGGAATGATTAATAAGTTCACTGATCTGATAGGATGGAAAAGAAAGTCCGAAAAAATATTCATCTAACAAAGAAGTAGAATCTTAAAATTCTGCTCCAGCAATCATGTCTACAATACTAAGTGACACAATGGTTTTAATATTCTTACATTTTCCGGCAATTTGTATTTGTTTTGCTGAAGAAATTATTAATTATTTAATTCCCTATATTCTTCTTCATCCAGTCATTTAATTTAAGTTGATCTTCAGTTTTTAGGGGATTTAATCTTTTCATTTGTAGCGAACACTGCGCAAGTGTAACGACATCTTCGGGTTCTGGGTTGTTATGATTCTAAGAATCATTATTAGGAGGATTCTTCAGTCTCCGTGAGTTTTGTCTTCCTTCTTAATGCGGAATTTGGTGTAGAATTTACATTTCTTCGAGAAGGCCACATGATCCAGTTTAGAAAGGACGTACTGTAGTTTCATTCTTTAGGGAGAGTACATGTATAAGTCAGGTGACCCTGACTATACTTCATACATTCTAAAATGGTTGCAGACTGCGGCCAAATCTCTAACAACGAAATCAAATCATGGCATTTTTACCTTCTCTGTAACGTCTTTGATATGCAGGTCCAAAACAGTCTTCAGGGAGTAGCTGCGTTTGCCTTTTTCTTTTCTTTCACCGAAACGAAAAATGCAGGAAGATTCATCCCAGTGTCTTCAGTTTTCTTTGTTAACTGCCCTGTTTCTTTGTTTGCCTTTACCACAGGGAATCCTTTCGCAATTTATTCCGTCTCAATTTCTTTGGGGTCAGAAGGTAAACCACGGATAACAACCTTAATAGGAGTATCCGCCTTTCTAGTAAAAGTACTAAAAGGAATGCTGTTCTTGAGAAAGAGTCCAAGTACGGCATTTCGATTTCAACTGGCGTCAACGAAAAATCTCTGGAGAGCGTTCCAGTGTATCCTTGTATTCCATATTCATTCAGAGAAAAGGCTTCGTAACTCTTTCCATGTAATCTCTGGTTTTGGGCAGATTAGCGGAGGTAATCTTTCTTTTTTAAGATTTAACGTTACGTCATAAGCGTAACACTGATGCGTTCATTTTCATTACTCATAATTTTATCTTGCCAATCCCTTTTATTATCTTCAGCAATGCCAACATCTAAAGATTCAAACTGGTTATTCGCAGGAGAGCATAGAGACTGATATCCTCTTGAAAACTTTTGTAGGAATAATCCGGTCTTTATTTAAGGAAGTAACAGCAACAACTGACGTCTCCTTGAATAAATTCGATCTGTCAGGATCTCTGAATTGATCACAATCGAGATTTTCTTCAACCATCAAAGCAATAAACTCCAGTACGCAACTTATGTTTAAGCTCTCAATATCTTTAAGCAAAAAGGAAAATTTTGGCAGCTTCTTCATCTCAATTATCATCTTCGCAATAACAAAAATGGTTAAGAAGCTTTGGCATGAGCGGTATTCATAGAAAATGAACAACGTCTATAATTCAGAGTATGTAACACATGACAGGCACAAGTTAAATACTTCTCAAGTATAGTTCACCAATCAGAAAGCACAGTAAGCAAAAATGACTGTAGACTAGTGGTTTTCAACTTTTTGACTAACGCATACCATCTAAAAAAATTGAAAACCTTTAGTACCACCATTACAAAAGGCTACTACCACCACCACTCTTGAATACACCACACCAGATCGAATGAATTTACGAGTGTTAGAGAAAAAACTAAATCAGGAAGTTGGGGTTTTAATTTTAGAATTCAATAATTAAAAAAACTTTGCTTCTTTGCATATCACCTATTTTTCTCTTGCGTACCACCGGTTGAGAACCCCTGCTGTAGACGATTGTCGACAACAACAGCAGACGACACAAACTTCACGGTCGACGATTCGCCTTCCCAATCCTGTCGGTGAATAAGGAAGCGAGTAGACCAGTAAGTGATCTTGTTGAGGCTGTCACTCGCGATTTATCTCTTTTTATGGAAGCATTTAAAAAACGGGGCCGTAAAAATAAAAAATAACCGAATACATATTTATTTTTAAAAATCGCTGGCAGTTTCATTTTCGACTGCTTCAATACCATTTCATTACATCCATATATTCTTTCTTCTTCTCAAAAATAAGCACACTGAGATATATTCTACGCGACAGCTGATGTGTAGCGGCGAAATTATGATAACTTTTTTAAATTCATATTTTATGATGATTTTTGTCATTGTTATTGATGTTTGTTGTCATCATTGTTATTGCTATTTAAATGATAAATAAATATTTATCGTATGAATACGAATTATTCGTCAGTGCAATATTTCCGTAGGGAAAATTGGACTACCAACAATTTATTTTATATCTTGTTTTGTTATTAGTAACACATTTTTTAAACTGTTTTTGTGGCGATGTATGAACGTAAAATCACCTAAAAACGATACTTTAAAAGTGTTTTAGTATCGTTTATTTAAAATATCGTTATATTTTGAATATGGCGAAGCATACGAAGGCTATTTACCACAGGGGACAGATATCAGCCCATTCGACTGGGTTCGAATGCCAGTATTCAGTGGTCTTAACTATTCGGCCACTGTGGGGCGCTTTAATATGTGTAATATGAAATCTAATGTTAGTAGTATGTAACTTTAATATCATTACCATAAAAATATGAGTAAAAATTAAGTAGTATGAAATCCACGTGAAAAATTAATCGTGTGGTTTTGTATAATCGAATATTGAATTGAGGAGTATTTGTAATTAAACCTATAAGCTCATCATCTGACGAAACATCGTCAAAAGCTGAACGCATCGAGTTACAAATGGAACACATAATCTCCAGCTTAACAAGATTCATAAAACTTATTTCAACACTGCTTGTGTTAGCTGTAATGGGGAAAAATTATTTTCTATTTTGAAATGGATTAAAAGTTATCTACTAGTCTAGATTAAATAATTTAAGTATTCTATACCATAGAATATGTAATTCGCACATCGTATTCCACAGAATTAATACATTAGAAAAAATAGATTATATGAAAATCATATAGAGATTTACAGAAAGTAAATATGGCTATAAAAGTAAATCAGAAATTTTAAGCTTTTTTCTATTTTGTGTATTTTTATTAATATACATAAGATACTTCGGTATATCAGAATATTGTTCAATTAAATGAAAATATTTATATAAATAAAAAATTTTTCAATGAACGTCATTTAATTAATATATGCAATTACTTATTTAGTGCTGTTTTCAATGTTATTAAGATGCTAGATCTTTTGAGCCCAGGACGCTCAGTTATTAATTGGACCTTACGCTTGATGCGTAACATTTCTGTAATGGCTTAAAAGCTACTTGTCTAAGAAATGTATCAAGTTTTGTAACATTTTTGTTAGAATTCTGATTCGATAACGTGACATAAATCAACACAACATACATTGAAAATATTTTATCAAGTGCTAAAATCACAAAATACACATTTGAAACAGGCAAGCACTAACGGTGCTTCTTCAATTAAAGTGAATTATATCCAGATATCACAAGAGCAGCACTGAAGGTAAATAATTAAAGGTAAATATAGTAGTATTTTAATATGGTAGTATTTTAATGAAGATACTTAAAGTCACGATACTCAAATATTACAGGAAGCAACAGTAATGCGAGAGAAATTCTTAAAAATTATTCTTTGCTCAATTAGAAATTTTTGCTAATTTATTCTTTTTCTTACGACAACTCAAAATGTGACGTCTGTCACTCGTCTCCTCCCCCTTATATAAAAAAAGTCGACTGAAAAGAAGAAATTTCTACATTTATGACTACTACTAATGTACTAATATAGGGTAACTATCATGTATCAAGTTACAAAATTTCTTCTTGAAGAAAGAATCGTCGTGGAAATATACCTAATAGCTGCACTTGGCTGTTTATGCATATCGTCAATTCTAAATGAGTGCATGATGCATATCGTCAATTCTAAATGAGTGCATAATGCATATCGTCAATTCTAAATGTAACAAGTTAAATCTATGATTACAATAGCTAAGCTATGGAACAATGATTACGTGTTTAAGGAAATAAAATGCAAAATTATATTTCCTTAAACACGTAATATCGTCAATTCTAAATTTAACAAGTTAAATCTATGATCACAATAACTAAACTTTGGAACAACGATTACGTGTTTAATGAAATAAAATGCACAATTCAAATAGGACATCAGGCTATTTATGCATAGCTTCTATTCTAAACGAGTGCATACTATAATAACATAAGTTAAATCCATGACTGCTCAGCTTTGAACAATAATTGAGTATTTATGGAAATATGTATTACACTATTCAAACAGGTGCATCTCGCTTTTTATGCATGGCTTCAATTCTAAATGAACAATCTTTTAGTTAATCTCAAAATTAACTAAAATTTGGTATTCGTAACTCGGAGTTGTTTCTTATGTTTTTTTAAGCCAGTGGCCTCAAACTCAAATTGCATGGGGTCGAAATGTGTGATCTAAAAGCAACTAATGGGGACCCAATTTTTTTAATAAAATGAAAAATTGTTATGATTAAAACAGAACTAGTATTTAAACTAATTTTTAATTGTGCTAACTAAATGTTTATTAAAACATAAATCAATAATAATAACGCAAAGAAAAAATTCAAATTTATATTTATTTTCTTTTTCTATTTTTTCCTATATTTACCATATTTGCCGGCGTATAAGACGCACTTTTTTCCTTTCAAAATAGGTGCGTCTTATACGCCAATACTGCGTCTTATACGTCGATACTTATTGCGTCGATACGTCGTTTGTCAATGGGTCAAAGCTTCATGAGATGCTGTGAAAATATACACAGTTGTTAAATCATTTAAGAAGTGTGGCATTAGTATGCACTGGATGGTACAGAGGACAATTTGTACGAGGACTCAGATGCTGATTTAGAAGAGGTTTCAAGTGAGTCTTCATTCAGCTCTGGATATGAGCGTGTGTTTTGACGAAGGAGATTAAAAGGTGTTCTTTCCCAGATAAATTGAGTATTTTCAAAAAGTATTACTTTGTATGTGTATTACATTATACTTAAAATACTGTAAATTCATTATAAGGACCAGAAATAAAGTTTTATCCTTAAAAAATGTGTACGAAAAAGGGAGTGCGTCTTATAGGACGGTGCTTCGTATACGCCGGCAAATACGGTATTTGGTACTTGCAAGACTATTCTGCTGTTTATACTTTGTAATTCAAACACATTAAAATTAATATTTTTTACTGATATTTATTTCAAATAATTCTAATATGTTTACCTAATAATTAAATAACTTACTTTTATTTAAACTAAAAATAAGCAAAATATGAAAGTTTTCTAATCTTTCAGAGAAAACGTTTAAGTAGGACAAACGTGAGAATAGATAATGATAGCTTAGTCTCTTTCTCTTATTTATTAAATTTTCCATCGATACGTAAATTAAAAATGCATATCTTTGTTCGTACATAATTATAAATTTTGTATGTAAATATAAAATTTGATTTTATTATCACAGACTGTAGATGCTTATCGATCAATCGGGTTCTTTTCTTATTAATTTTCAACTATAAAAAAATGCTGTTCATATATAAATGCATTCCCAACAAAAGCGATTATTCTAAGTAGAAAAATTTGCAACTCGGCGTATTTACTATTTTTTGACATGTACGAATAAAAGTCAATCAAATTGTATCTTCAAATCTTTGTATAAGATTTATATCTCGTTGTAAATTAGTTATTTCAATTTACAGATTTTGTTATGCGCTATTCATATTTGTTTTTAATGAAAATGAAAATAACGTAAACTCGGACTTCAAATAATTAAAATCTTGAAATGTTTCTGATACTGTACTGCAGGAAACACGTAACTAAAATATACTCTCTGACAACTAGTTTGAGACCATTGGTTTAAGCAATATGTTACGATTACTGAAAAAATAATTGCGAAAAGCATTTTATTTTATTATATTTGTGAAACTCCTTTGCTGAACACATATAAAATGATGAAATTAATGCTTTTCATTATATATAAGAGTATATCTTAATGGAGTACATATAGTAACTATTAGTAATACGTACAATAAAATGTGTCTAAAAGGAAAGCTTTATAAAGTAAAATCTGCCTGATGCTAAAGACAGATAAGCGATCAATTCAGCATAAATTGAATTTTTTTCTTACATTTTTATTATTCTAACTGAATAAATGCAATGTATTTCGAACACTGTAGCCTGAAAAATTAAGGTACCCCACCATTCAACAGCAGTCAGAATCAGTAGTGAGCTATGAAAATTTTAACAAAAGAAGTTGTGTAAGTTTATAAAAACAAAATATCAAATATATAACATATCTCTAATGTTAAATAATTAAAAATGTCTTAACATATCATTCATTAGCTTTAAATTATTTTAACGTTTAGAATCTTGCCTAAATGTTCTAACTTTTCAACTTTACATCAAGAAGGTATAAGAATCGACCAGTTACACAGAAGGCAACCGACATTCGGTCGACCGCTTCTCGCTGCACAATCACGTATCATTAACTTTACCTCCACTAACTGGCAATGGCAGCGACTGACTGGAAACGACGGGCAACAGCATTATGAAAAGCATAATGCATTGTAACGTGATGTAAAAGTGCATTAAAATATTCTATTATCCAACTGTATAACGAATCTGTGGATGCAAGTAGTGCTTCATAGCAACTGTATACAAGAAGACGAAATCATTATTAAAGAATTAGACACCGTAATATATTTCAACCAGATGTTGCTTAGACACGATATTTTACATTAATCTGTGGTCTTCATTTAATTTACTCCACTAATTTATCCATGAGAAAGTAGTGATTCATGGAATGACAGAGTTTCTGTGATCAAAGCTAACTCTCAGATTGTTGTTATGGTGAGGAATGTGTGGTCTTGCCCATGGTGTGGAATCGGTGGAGAAGATTGAGTTGCTGCGAAGGCGAGAACCAATAGCTGAACGAATATTGGATATTCTGGGCGATGCCTTGAATCGATCCACCAAGAAAACGAAAAAAGTTGCTAAAGATTCCATAAAGTCTAACAGAGCTATGAGAGAAACTCCGAGCCATATGCCCACAAAACCTCCCAGGAAACTAAATAATTCAATGCTCTGAAATGAAAAGAGAGAAAGACATGAATATTTATGGAAAAGAATAAAAATTGTTTTGAATATTAAATGCAGTAAAGAAATGTACTTAGTAAATGACTAGCCACTTTCGCGGCCTGCCACCTAAAACAGTCATTATATATTAAAAAAATAATTTTAATGGATCCAGTTAGCGTTTTTTAATTGGATTTCAGATAGTTTAATTTCATAAAATTATTTAATGATTTCAATAATAAACCAAAATTATTGCTTTTTCGGATACATTAATTTAATGAAATAGAAATTAAGCAGCGAACAATAGTTAATACTGCAGCTCATTATACAATTTCTTTATTATGACTATTATTTTTAATTATACTCAAAAAGGATTATACTCCAAAAGGATCCATTATTTTTAAATGCACAAATGAATTTTATTGTTTAACATTTAAATACGGAATATGAAATATTGATTAGCTTATTTCATTCCCTGAGACCTTTCTAGCTATATTTATATTATTTTTCAGTATAGTATATTGAGAGGATTGATGATTTTATTATGACTTATCTCAATTGTCTGAGAGTAACATCAGAACAAGCTCACGAAATTCATCGTGGCGAGGAGCACAAGATTGCGCCTTTCACTGGCGAGAGCCATGCATACGGGTTAACAATACGACTTTGCTCATTTCCGCTTCCAGTTTTGATAGAGCACCCCGAGGGGACGAGTCCGAGGATCTCCCACCTGTCTTTCCTTATCACTCATTTCTCGAGACGACTTTCGGCTGCTGCATATTTAGAGTGCCCCCATGCTGCACAGACACTATACATTTACAAACATACATGCCTTCTCAGGGATTCGAGCCCGGGCCCTTCGATACGGCAGTCAGCGTTATTAACCACTAAATCGGTTAGGCGGCGAGCATTGATATAAAATCAAATATCGATTCTTTCGATATTTGATAATAACATCGATTTTCTTTCCTTTTTATTGAAGAATGCGATAACAGGAGACGCAATTATCGTTCTGTAGTAATTACCATTTAGATTTCATTTTTTCTGCGAACGGAATGAAATTTTGATTGGAAAATGAACAATTTAAAAACTTCGTGTTGTCACTGATCGAAATAGAACACTTTTATCTTTCACGGGCCTGAATGCTGCCAAATATTTAAGCAGTAAAATTCGTTTTTACCTCCCATCCTATACACATAGGTATTGGGAGCTAAGTTTGTTTGGTTCAAAAATTTGAAAGTTATCTTTTAGTGAATAAGTACGAATTGCTTCTTTGGAAAATGTGTTTCTAAGATTTTTACATTGGTATCTGTCTGTGTGTATAAGTGTGACGATTTTTCCGTCCATTGTAACTCTTATTTCAAGCTTCGAAAAAGTCTATCTTCTGTATTTAAATTTTCTGCATTGATATAAAGAGTTAATTAGATTTTGGGTAAAACTGCACGACCTGATACTTTACTTGAAATCCATGACAGTTTCTAAAGGACAACCGGAATTAGTACTTAATTTGACTTCCTTCACAATTTTTAATGAAAAATTGCATTAAAATATGATATAAAATTTTTCAAGTTTAGTGTTTAAGACTTCTTTATCAATGACAACAACACATTAGATTTCGGTTAAAATTGATAAATTCAGTTCAATAGCAATGCCGCGAAATAATTTTAAAATGAGCATATCTCTAGAATTTTCGATACACAGTTGCGTGCGCTAGATATAAAAAGGTCCCCTCCCCCTGCCGTAGAGTGTTGCCATTGCTCGCATTGAAATCCTTGAGTTTGTTAATAAAAAATTCGTTAAAGTTTTACAAAATATGAAATCGATAATAAAACAAATTCCAAATTTCAAATTTGGTCTTCCACATGCCCATATTCGTAGGAGGATTACGTCATTCACAATTCGATGGCTCTATGTATTGTTTTATCACAATGCGAGAAATATACCTACATTTATGCAGATTTTTCATTATTTAATTTCTTCAAATATAATGCAGGACTCATTTGGGAAACATTTGGTGGCAACAGTTTGAAAAGTGAAACGAACATTTATAGTGAATCAATGTAAAATCGCAAAACAAAAACAATAGTCCTTCAGGGACAAAGCCCCTTTGGACTAAAAATGCACTTGTTTCTGTTGCACTGTTGATGATGACGAGACACAAGAACAAACATCATATCCGAAATAACCTGTTGCTTTACTTATTACTGATCCCAGAAAGCACGGTAATCACTGTGCAGTTGTAACTCCAAAAAGTAACGAGCACTGTTTATTACGTATCGCGGGTATATGCGTGAAGAACAAAATGAAATAAGATTTCTTGATTCTGTAGAAATAACGTATAAGGAATTAAATTATGGTATTCGTTTTAAAGCACTTGTTTTAGATACAGTATATGCACTTAGTTTCCTTTAATTGAAAGCCAATTAAATTATATGTTACCCAATTAGCCAATAAAATGCAATTTTTAAGTAAAAAGAAATAACGTCATAAACGTTGAAATAAATTTGCATTGAGAATGTAAACGATCACGTTGAAATAAATTTAGAAAAAAATTTAGATAAGGCCAGTTGCCAATTAATAAAATATAATCGAAAATTTCATATTACAGATCGTTTTAAATATTGGAACAACAAATCAGATGTTGTTTACAAACGATCAACCGGAAATGATAAAGTATCATTTCGTTGCTGGTCAAACCGTGGAACTGACGGGAGATCATGCACTGGCCACATAAAATTCCTTCTCTCTGCCTCGCGAATTTTTATCAACGAAGACGAAAAATATTGTTACGTTCTACGGGTTCGTGGAGTAATTGACGATAACACTTGATGAAGAATCAAAACACATTTTATTCACCAGTATTACACAGGAGAGTTCCAAAGACGCGTTTACAGTCGTCGAAAAGCTACGATGAAGACGCTGAAACAAGCAGCTCAATGCCTTTACTCGCAATTTGGCCACAACTTCTGCGACTTTTTGCCAATAGATCTTTGTAGCCATGGACAGTTTGCGTTTGTGAATACTTTAAAGATGTACTTTGGGTTCTATTATCGCCTGGAGACGCGTGAATAATTTCAGGACCTAAGTCCGGCAAACATGGTCGTGGGGTGTTAAACAATCAGCAACACAGCCTTCAGGCTATAATGGTGAAGACAGCTTAACGGCAAAGCACTAAAGTACAACTCCTGAATCGGTCGATCGCTCTCAAGCTAATCTCTGAACTCAAGACACTACTGCTGCACTACTACTTTCTTCGCCTACGGGCAAGGTATATCTATAGCTTTAACCTACTTTCGAGAACATTCCCGAGGAAAACAGGTAAGAATGCGTTCTAGAATGTTCTCGCCTCGTCTATGGCATATCGCCAATTTTATCGCAAAACGTCGCCCAATGGGCGATTTTTCTCCAAATATGGCAACTCTGTCTTTCCCTATCACTTTGTGACAACCCTAACTCCGCTTTGTGGGAAGCCATCTCACCGCATCTAGGCATTTCGCAACAATATCACTAAAGGAGCTAAAAGACATTTTACGACTAGATATTTAATAGACTAGATGGACTAAACACAACGAGTAAAGAATTTCCGTATGAGTTATCAACACAAGCCCAGCTAGGAAAAATTATTAAATGCACTTTAATTAAATCAATCAGATTAGAAAGTAAAATAGGTATTAAGAATTGCGTTTATTTTTTAAAATCGCTCAGATAATTAATTAGTGGTATGCATATTAAATTTGAAAGCTAAATATCTTACGCCTTGCCGACTGTTAACACATTGGTGAGTGGAAGGTAAAAATATTTTATTTCCAGCAGTAGCAACACACTACTTTTAAATAACAGAGTTTGCAGATTAAATTTTAAGGACGAGTATTTGGTAACATGCGGGTTCGCCGAAGATAAAAAGCGTTCTCTTTCGAGCAATAACCACACGACATTTTTAAATCGCATTTTTAAATCAAAATTTCATTTAATTAGCAGAGAAAACAAAATAAAGGCAAATCCGAAGCTCAAAATTTTGGCTTCAATTCGCTCATGTTCATCTGGAGGACTATCTGAGTGTCGACACTAAGTGTCGCCGTTTTTCCACGATGGGAGGAACAAATATACATGCATACGAACTTTTCATTATTTAATAATAAAGAGGAACTCACCGAGTATTTTTTAAAGTTTTAATTAAGTTTGTTAAATGTTTTAAATGTTAAAGCAACCTATTCATAAACGCAGCCGGCGTTAAATTAGAGAAAAACCGTTTTGTTATTCTAAGTGTTAATATACTGACTGTAGATGCAGAATTCATGGATAGTTTATCAATTCTAAGGAATCGCAAATATGATTAGAAATATAATATTGAATTTTCTTAGAAGACTAAATCATGGAGGTTATTCAAAACACATTTGTCACAACAGATTTTAATATGAACCAGAATATTCAATCATCTGCTATTAATAATGCAAAAATGGAATATTTTGCGAGATGTTCTACATTCCTATATAAATATTTACTCTCTAATAAAACTTCTTTTTCCTATATAAATATTTACTCTTTTAATAAAGTTCTCGCAGTATTAATGGGAAGCAGAACGAGAAATCCATCAAAGCATTCAAACAATGGAAAGAAGCTATTCAGAAATGAATTGGAATGTTGTTATGATGTCTAGTTTTTGCTGAGTCTTGACTCGGAAAGTTGAAGCGATTATAAACGGTATATATTGCGAGCGGTATATATTGGATTTTGAAGCGATAATGTTTCAAAAAAGGAAATTCAAAATCTACGAAATATTCATTTGTGGAAGAAAGGAAGTACATAATATGGTAAAACAGTTTAATGGGATTTAACCCTGATAGGAATTAATATTCCTAAGCAGATCTTATGACATATATCTAATAATTTTACCTAATAATAAATTATGTTAGTTTATAAAATAAAAGACTTCTAAGACCTTTGAGGCAGGTAGCTCCGAAGGAAACATTTAACAAAGAGATTCGGCAGACGAAGACACAGAATGCCACAAAGCCATGAACGGGAACAGGAAAAAGTTGAAAATCGCATTCTAAAAAGTAATTTACTCCTTTTATTTTCCCATTCTCATATTAAAATTTTTTTGAAAATTTAAAATAGAATTGATATACGAGATAAAACATTTTCAAAAAACGAAACGTTATTAAAGTTGGAATGAAATGGAAGAGAAAAACTGTAGATCACTTTCGATAAAATAGATTTAATTGTTCGGTAAAAAATGCAGATACATTTTTCATCATTGTTCTGATTGACTGTAAACTGCAGTTTTTACTCAAGTCTAAGAAAATCAAGTAATACGAATATATACATTTATAAATATATGCCATAAATTTAAGCACTTTTTGAGAAAAAAACAATAAATATCAAGAACATTTATTTATCGCAGTTCTGTCATTATACAATATTAAAATTGCAGAATTATGAAGAACAAAAGATTGTAGCATTTATTATTTAAATCAAACAGTTATTTATAATTTCAGCCTGTACCACAACATCTCTTTTCCATTGCCTCACCAGAAATGTAAATGAATTAGATAGTATTAAAGCTGAGGTTTTTGGATTTTAAGACAGAGCATGTTTCTGCCTCCAGAGGCCACGTTGATATCCTTGTTAAATTTGTAATTAATCTGATTTGTGTTATTTGCTACCGACATTTGAACTCTTACGCCGGTTAAAGTTTTGGGACAACTTCAAGTTAAATTTAATTGTGTAGTCTGATTACTAGCCTATGTTTTAATTTTAATCTGACTTCTATTTTAGTTACATAACACAGATAGTGGCCATTTTCACCTGTGATGAATACATTCTTAAACATTTTAGGGAAGATGCAATGCTCAGACGAAATTAATTTTTGGAAATAAAATTTAAAATTTTCTTATACCGCCGTCAATTATTTAGCGCAAAACATTTATAAGGTTGCATTTCGAATGCCATTAGAAAGTACACGTCGAAGCGAAATTTAGCTAATATGGAGAAACGAAATCGAAACAGATTAATGCTCCCTTAAATCATTAGGTATCAAATTATTTATGAATTTTTATGAACCCCTAATTAGGTAGCAAATTTTATGAACTTCAATTAAACATAAGATACTATTTTGATAAAATTACTATTTATCATTTTTTCTGTATACAAATTTTCTGAAACAATAAAACAAATATCATTCCCTATAAAAGAAAAATCAGTCAGAAATCCTTTCCCTTCTTTAGTATTCTTTCAGGTGTAGTCTCTTTTTGGCTTTAGTGTGAATTCATATTCGCTAGGCGGGTCGGGAATCGGCCATATTCTAACTAACTGGTAACTAACTAGCCGAATGTTGGACGCGGATGATGCTTCAGGTAACGAATCCCATTCCCCTGCATGACAATGCGCGATAGCTCTCATGAAGCTTCTGAGGTTGTGGATATAGTCCTGGAATAGCCATTATACTCTTCCGATATGAAGTGTTGTTATAATCTCTTTACCGAAATGAAAGGAAAAGCTGCTGCGAGGGATCTATGACAACAACTGAAAAGAGGTTATTCGTGCTAGACAGCAATTCCTCAACACCAACAGAAGTAAATGTATTGATGGTGTACGTGGCTTCCAGAAAGCTGGTAGAAGGTTGTAGACGTGACAAGCGATTATACTGAGGAATTGTAAAATGTTCATATCTACGCTAATGAAGTCTGTTCGAACCTATCGACGTATTGCCATTACTTTTTATCTAACTTTTACAGACTTGAAATTTTAATAATTTAATCGTAATACTAATGATTTCAAAACACAGTTCACTGAATTGTTTAAAATATACAAAATTATGCAGTAATTCCGTGCCGATTTTTTCTGAAGGAGCTTAGCAATAGTTGCTTATTTTCTTTTCTCTTTGGTTTTATTAGTAGCGTTGATAATTGATATCTTTCCCTTAAACAATATTAGTTAATTTTTCATCAGAACTGAGAGAATTACAGTTTTCAAACAGGAAGGTAATAATCTGCTGATCTTATTCTGAATGCCCGATGCTCTATTAAACATATTTTACGCTAAATAGCATTATAAAACGGGATATTTTTTTTTTTGAATATTAAAATAATATTTGAAATAGATCCAACTTACTTCATACTTAGCTCTGTATCTATAAACGTTTACTTGAGTTCGTTTAAATAAGATAAGTATCTCTACCGTCTTATTCCTGAAGAAAAAAAGTACTTATCATTAATGCACAAACGCAAAATGTAATTTTCAGTTAAAGAAACAAGAATTTCTAGACATCTAATTAGTGCACGTGTGTAAGATGAAACTATTAGTTAATTTATATAATTATACACAAAAATAAACTTTGAGTACCAAATATTCAGGATCATCAAAAAAGGCATACCTAATTTTAAATTCCTATTTGAGTTTTATTATAAATAAATCTTCTTAGTTTCCATATTAAAATAATTAGAAGACGTTCAAGTTTTGACTATATCTTCCTATAAATGACAAGCGAAGTAAGTTAAATATGGGCAGATGGTTTGGTAGTTACACCACTGATTTAACCTAGCTTCTTGATAAAAATCGCAGTCGTGGAATAAAAAACACAGTACGTACTGTAATCTAAAGAATTTAAATATGCTTAAACTGTTCAATGCTGTTTTTGATGAACTAAGGATAACAGCTAGTTGCTGGCTGTAAAATCATAACTTATTGCTGCTGCAATCATACCAGACACGAAACAAATACGTGAATGGAAACAGAATGCTACAAAATGATAATTTGCTGCTGCTGCTGGAATCACACTTAGACATGAAACAAGTACGCGGATGAAAAGAAAAGGCTACAAAATTATAACTTGTTGCTGTTGTTATAATCTGTTCAGATCCGAATTAGGCACATGGATGGAATGCGCTAAAATGATAAATTGCTGCAGCTGCAATCAAACCAAATATAAAACAAACACCTGGATGGAAGAAGAATACTGCCTTGACAACTGCAGTGCAACTAACGAAGCTCATATCAAAATTTACAATTTAATCAACTTTCGAGTTTATTATGCAACATAAATTATTAGATTGCCTCGAATACTTCTTCATAAACTTATCCAATAATGTCTTTTAAAATAGTGTTCACAGTTAAATTATGCAATTCATATCGGGCGTTTCTTTGTCTGACGGATGAAGACACACTGGCACAATTATTTTTTAAATTTTCTTCAAAGAATTGTTACCTATTTACTCAAATTAAATTTCTCTAAAATGCCCTTGGATAGTTCAGAGATAATGACTAATAATGCAAGTAACATGTATAAAGAATCCTATTTTATAAATAGGTTCAATTAAATTATCTTCTTAAACTTCCAGAAATCACTTCTAAAATTAGAAAAAAATTTGCCTCTCTCTAAATACAGCTGCCACGCAATAGGGAACCTGTTTAATAACGAAACTCTGAATTTAAAGAATAAATTTTTAGTCTCAGCGAATTTTCCATAAACCTTATGTTATTTCATACGGCTATAGGAACTTCTAAAAGTATCAAAATTGGATGTAGCAAATTTATGGATATCTTCCACTAAAGCCATTTTTTTTTCATAATTTTTTTCTAAATTTCTGCAAGTTTTAACTGACAGATTACTAATCTTTAAAATAGTCCATGTTTAAGCTATTTAGGATTTTGGAGTAATTTACGCTAATGGTCTTTTTGTTTTGTCCCCACTTTTCTCTGGGTTCTAAATAAAGAATATGAGAGATAGATACAAAATCCAATATTTGGGAAACCAGAACACACAGCAAACACAGCTTAAGAGATCATATTTTGTCATACAGTAACCACTGAGCCAAAAAACCAATTCAAGTAATTTGTTTTAGGGGTCAAAGAACTTACCGTATCCTGCAGGACAATATTCCGTTCAAGGCTGGTGTTGTGATTGGGAATTTTGAAATTTTTATCATTCTTGTTATTAATGAAATTTATTACCATTACTAAATTTTTAACATTTTATCATTAATGAATATTTTTCAGGAAAAGAAGACTAGTGAATAAATTTTTATTGTGTGCCTGCACAGGTGATTCGTTTTTCAAGAACTAAACTTTTTATCTTTGCCATTTTCCTGATTCTATCTGATAGTCTTCTGAATGGAAAGGGGTTAATTAAAGCCTCTGTCGTTAAAATTAAGGCAATAAAGTGTGCATTACGGTGTTGCATATTTAGAGGGAGATATGTATTTCGAATGAACCATGGCTTTTATGAAAAGTAATTAATCTCGTAAAATTATTAATTCATTTGAAAGCTGAAAATGAACGAAAAATTAACTCAATAGCTGAGCATAATAATAATAAATTTAATTAACACATAATATGTTAAAAGAAAAAGTTTTTATTCACTTTTTTTGGTGGAAGTGATAATGATAATCAGTTTTTATTTTATTGGGGGACAAGATGATTCATCTGTCAGTTTTTGCACTTTTTTGTAACGTAACCCATTTTTTGTATCATGTAGCTTATAACGAACAACTCGGTATAGCGAGCGAAATTTTTGCTATCTTGAAATTCATTGTAGCGAAAATTTACTGTCTATAAAATAAATATATGTGTCTATAAAAATATTTAATTTTTAAGACCTACCAATTTATTTTTCTTTCGGTGTGGTTTTCTATCTCCTGGAAAAGAAAAATAGTGTAGCGTTATATCAGTTCATAGTTTAGTTTAGTTTAGTTTACGAGTATGCTGCAACCATACTGGCCGATAATAATCGGCCTCATGGTTAACGCAGCACACCCGACGCAGACAAACAAAAATACAGTTAAGAGATAAAAACAAAAGAATAAAACACAGATTAAACAGATTAACGTAGATTGTGTATCTTTAAAAATACACTCACACAATACAAAATAAGGAAAATCATTAACATAATCGGTTAGAAAACAAAAAATAATAAGACGACACATAGCTCACTCACCTAACACATAAACTCATAAACAAAAGAAAAATTAAAATATTTCATGTCCTATTCCTATGATAGTCTTGTTTTCATTCACAATCCTCATAATCTCTGTTGCATAGCTATTCAAGAATTTTCTTTTTTCAATTACATGCTGCTCATTTATTTTTTCCAAATCTCGTCCTCACACTCTCGGTCAGTTTACATTCTTCCATAAAATGAGCTGTATTTCCGTTATAACGTTGCGCGCCTCCAACTTGCACGCAACCAAGAGGTGACTGTGAAAACCTGTATAAAAGATAGAGCCTTGTGAAGGGTTTAAGTCCCTTTTTATTCAACGTAATAAATTACAATTGCGTGCTCTTGACGCTCACAGACTGTGCCAACTTGGCAGTCAAATAAAAATAATAACCTGAAACGAAAGTAAAGACAAGATTCTAACTACGAGGCTCTCTAAAATAACTAATTCACCGCGTTTTACAATACCGCTGCTAATTCAGCAGACTTGAAGCTCACTGGAACGATTACCACTACTTCCCGCCAAGCACATAGGCCGCAACGCGGGGTTCTTCAATTCTCGCTAACTACCTCCGCGCTCGTGCAGTAAGAATATCACACCGAACTCGTTTCCTTCTATTTAAATCATAATACTTCCGCTGATAATTTGAATCCTTGCGCGTTCTACTAAAATTTACATATTCTGGCATTGGCAGTTCCAGGGGAAAGTAAGGCTTGACAGGAAAGATAGTTTAAACTTAAAATAAATGTTAGTTAAAATAAATATAAACCCTACACCGTACTTCCCACAAGCCAAGCATTGATCATTGCCCTGGAGATCAAAACGTTTTAAATAGGCCGGGAATCTACAATAGTCAAAATTTTCAAGTAACCCTTATTTTTATTTGAACCATTCCATTCCTGAGCCCATTTCTAAATTATACTTTCTTTCATTTTTCTCAAGGTAATTCTTCTGGAATTATTAATATCGTCATAAATATCACCCTCTCCCAGGGCTGCCTCTTTAGCTAGCATATCCGCCCTTTCACTCCCGGTAACACCAATACGTGCCTTGACCCAATGAAAATATATACCATTTTTCTCTTTCATTTTGTTATAAATGTTTTTTATATCCAAAAGAAGTCTATTGCTTGGTTCCGGATTCTAACTTTAGCAAAACGATAAAATGCAAAGATGAAATTTTTTATCCTTAACATTTTGCATTTTTAAAAGGATGTTACAGTTTTTCTTATTTTGGATTTGAGTATCCCTGCACCCCGGAAGTGCCGTCGACCTTCAAAAGTACTTGGATGTAGTAGTAGGCGGTAATGTAGGCGAGACTGTTTGTCATATACTATGTTTTTCTAAAATAGTGCGTTTAAATGAAAAAGTTAAATGAAGGATGAGAGGCTTGTAAAAAAAAAAAAAGGGGGAAATGATTTAATTAAAATTCACGAGTCGAATGTAATATGCGCATTTGAAAGGGTTGGTTTCAGTTGAGTGGGCTGGGATAATATTCTGCATTGCTAAATTAGGAACGAGATGGTCGCTTTTCCTTGAGAAAGGTTAGATCAAGGTTAAGATTTTGAGGGGGAGGTGAAAGTAGTATTTGATGAAATACGTGTTTTGAAAGCGTAAACATCCTGTAAGCGCACAAGGCGAGACTTGTGAAACTTTCACTTGATCATTACATTTCGAAGCGGTGAGGTTGGTGCTATCATCCTCCATAAGGATTACAATGGAAGCTCGTAATGGTGAGTGAAACGTAAGGGTTTTTTTTTTTTTTGTGTTTATTGTTCTTTTATTTATTGTTAAATACTTTCTGCGATAAATGTTAAGCATAAAATTATAATTAAAATTAGTTTATTTTAGAACGCAAACGTAGATGTGTTGACACGTTGGGGGATGTGCAGCCGTCGGAAGATCTTATTTTAAACCTTGCTCCCGAGGAAGGCGAAACCTCCCGCAAAAAACTCAAAAAAATTAAAATATACATTGGAAAAAATGTTTCAATAGAAACTTGTGACTTCAAAAATGTCAATTATGTTTCATTTGTAAGGGTGTATCCCGAAACCGCCGCCACCCCCAAAAGATTTAATATAAATATGAATTGTATTGATCGTATAATCGAAGCTTTGGGGGTGATTAAGAGTCACTGTATGTAAAATAAAATAAAAAAAAAAAAAAAGATATCAAAATGCTAATTTTGCTGGAAAGCGGTAGTGGAAGTTAGTAAATTAATATGAATTTTATATAATATTGTAAACAAAAAAGTTCCATTATTTATTTATTTTTTTTTTTTTTTTTCAAATGATGAATTTTATTCAGTTAGCGCAAGCCCACCGAGGCTATTTGCGCACTTTAAGAACAACATTCGATGCTTCTCAGAAAGATCCGTATGAGATATTCAGAACGGCACGCCCTGCCATATACAACATTTTAAATACTAGATCGAGTTTAAGACTCAGGATTTTAATATGTTTGTTTGAAAATATGTTTTGAGAAACTGGGGAAAGATGAAAAAGAAATTAATCAGTGTTTTTATTTTTGTTCTCATTGCGAAAGGATTTTATCCTCTAACCAAATCTACGAAAGCATTGACAGATGCTTTAAAAAGATTTTAAATTTGAGAGATAATTTTGTGCGTAATGGAAGCGGGTGGAAAATAAAAAAAGTTAGAGTACCTTGACTTACACGTTGGAAACTATCGGGAAAATCGCGGTGGTTGTAAAAACATCGCTTTACCGACGGGATTAAAAAATAGAAAAGCGTTGTTAAATATCAAATGTGGTGATGACAATTGTTTTTTTATATTCTGTTGCCGCAAGTGTTTTTCCGAAATCCACTAGAAATCCTCAGAAGGCTTACTTGTATAAAAAGGATATATCACGTTTTAAATTAGGATCCCTCAAATTTCCCTTAGCGTTAGGCGATGTAAAAATGTTTGAAAACCTGAACGATGTATCCATAAACGTGTATGGATATGAGGAAAATGAAATATTACCTTTGCAATTAAGTGAAAAGCGAAATGCGACAAAAACAGTAGATTTGCTATATTTTCAAAAACATTTCTTTTGTATTCGAAATTTTAATCGTCTATTACACGCATTACACGCAAACGAAAAACGAGTAAATTTTTTTTGTAAAACTTGTTGTTTAAGTGGGTTTCAGAGAAGGGAAACGTTAGAGTATCACAAAACTCTTTGCAATGAAAACAAACCGCAGAAAGTTAGCATTCCTAAAAACACACTTCTTAAATTTACAAATTTAATGAAAATGCATTATCATCCTTTTTGTGTCTTTACCGATTTTGAATGCCTCACGCGCAAGATTCAAACTGCGTTTCCTTCTCCGCAACAGAGTCATCATACTACCCCAATTGAACAGCATATTCCTATTAGTTATACCCTAATAGTTACTGACGTGGAAGACAAGATTATTTTTCATGAATATTTTTGCGGAGAGAATGTAATGGAACATTTTTTCACAACGTTGAGCGAAATCAAATCTAAAATTTTGCAAAAGATGAAAGAGTGTGTTTACCGATGCAGGAGACGTCGGAAAAAAGTTACGATTCAAATATATGTCATATATGTTTGAATCCTTTCTTAGAAGGCGATGTTCGGGTCAGAGATCACTGCCACTGGAGTGATGGGCATGTGAGAGGTCTTGCACATCGCTCCTGTAATTTGAATTTTAAAGTGTCAAACTACATTCCGGTGGTAATTCATAATTTCAGGAATTATGATAGTCACCTGTTACTAAAACACATGCCGAAAATGTATGCAAATAAAGTTAACATTATTCCGGTGAATTTGGAAAAATTCACCATGTTTACACTAGATGAAATGAAATTTATTGATTCGTTTCAATTTTTAGATGCGTCTTTGGACACTTTGGTGTCGAATTTGAAAACGTCACAACATGAATTTAAATTGTTTAATGCATTTTTTGAGAAAAATCCCCAACGAGAATTGTTATTGCGGAAAGGCGTATTTCCTTACTCATATTTTGCGTCAACATCGGTGTTGGATGAAACTTCGCTTCCACCGCAGAGCGCGTTTAATAATGTATTACAAGGAGAAGCAGTTTCCGACGAAGATTATGTACATGCCACACACGTGTTTCATTCGTTTGGATGTAACACTTTTGCCGATTACTTAGAGTTATATCAAAATACAGATGTTATTTTGCTAGCCGAAGTATTTTTATCCTTCAGACAGACGCACCGCTCTAAAATATTACCAGTTGGATCCTGTACATTTTATAACGGCTGCCGAATTAACGTGGAATGCCGGACTGAAAGCGTCTAAAATTGAATTAGAGCTTCTAGGAGATGTGAATCAATACATTTGGTTTGAAAACCAAATGCGAGGAGGTATTTGTTTTCTGGGTAGACGTTATGCTCTTGCAAATAATCCTTATATCCCCGAGAGTTATAAACCCGATTTACCACACACCTATATCTTAGCCTTAGACGCAAATAATCTATACGGGTGTGTAATGAGCCAGCACCTGCCATTGGGAGGTTTTTTACTGGTTAAAGGAAAATGAGGTGGAGGCGTTTGATATTTTGTCTTGTGTTGAAGACGGTGATGTGGGGTATATTATCGAATCCGATCTGTTATATCCCTCCCATCTGCATGACCAACACAATGATTTACCGCTAGCACCGGAACATTTTGAACTCACTTTTGACATGCTATCGCCTTATGCCAAAAC